GAAATTTTAAACTACTAAATACAAAAATTAAACATTTCCCTCTCATGGTTTCCAAAGGGTTCTTTTTGGATTCGAAAAAAGAACACGGAAATATGGTGCACAATTTGAAATCAGCCAGTATTTATACACTACTGAACTGATGATTTACATGTACATTTAAAAGTTTATTTATTGCAAGGAGTGTTCTTTTCTCAAACCATTTGAGGTCTAAATGAATACATATAAAACACCCAATTAAGAAGAACAAATTGGATAATCAGTTATGCTATACCTAGCTTGTGTCAGGAAATTACCATAAGCGGTTTAAATACATTGAATATTACATTTCATAACTATATGAAATGATTATAATTGATAAAGACGTATTTGTAAACATGACACACATCGAACAGCAGTACTTAACACAATCAATAACAGTCATTGTTAGGTAGAATTCTCTTTTAAAATACAAATTTCAAAGACTTCTACGATCTAAGTTAAAATCGATCTGGTTGGTTTTCTCTTTAACAGTTTACGGCAGACATTAACAAAATGGCAAGTAATTATTTTCAATTCAGAATATGTATTTTAACATGTTTATGGTAAAATGTTTTCTTTACGAACAATTAATCAGTAATTAATCTTGTCATTCTCCAGTGAACATTACATCACAGTTTTACAATGACTAAAAATGTATTTCTTTTGTTAATCTTGTAAACACATTTTATGTAATGGTAATAGTGAAAATTACAATAACATAAATGGTACAAATTTTCTGAACACATGCACATTCCGATAATCAATGTCTCTTATGTGATTCTCGAGGTCAAATTACTAAATGAATGTCCTGACGGTTGACAAAGGGATGACTGCTTGTTTATGTAACTCTATGTTTTGTAACTAAACTTTTCATTAAATATGTTTTGCAGCATCAGTAACAGCAAACGAATCACTAGCTCTGTATGGGTATATGTGCAAGAACATTGTTGGAACAGAGGAGCATGTTAAAAATTTCAGAATGATGAATACAGTAAGAGACAATTTATTGAGCAACAAATCTTGGACAACAATTACAAGTGGCAGTTTTGGAGAGGGACTTGACATGAAAGATAGCGATTTAGATATTATGTCAAAAATGAAATGTTTTGACGTGGTTGAACAATTAAATATTCATTTTAAGTCTAATACGACGTATTTTACCATGGAAACGAAAGATACGAAACCAGGTTACACACAGCTACGACTTGTACATGGATACCCTCATTCTTCGTTTGAAGAGATTGCAGGTGAATATTACGTTTCAAATTCTTCGTTTAAACCAGTTAATTCTAACAGTTGGTTATCTATTGTTCACGGACCGTGCGTATCCGACAAATTTGGATATGTTGACATTGCATTCTGTTTACATAGTAAAGAATGGTTATCACAAGCAAAACATTGGATAATGTGATCAAATAACGCATGGCCCCAATACGATTTAAAACACTGTTTCATCAAGCATGGCGTTCTTTTAGTACCGGTCGGGGTAAAAGGATCTTCGAAAGAACATTTGGAATGGCGTATATTGTTTTCAGTTGCAGAAAAACTTTTAATTTATACATTTACACATGCACAATTCCTATGTTATGCTCTATTGAAAATTCTTTTAAAAGATATAATAGCCGACGGCTTAGAATTGAAAGATGTGCTCTGTTCATATTTCATGAAAACAATACTGTTTTGGATTTCAGAAGAATCTCCACTTACAATATGGACACCGGAAAAGTTGAGATATATAATTTCATGATTTGTTTTAAGAGACTTATCTATTGTGTTGAATACTGCGATTGTCCCAATTCCTTCATTCCTGATAATAATTTATTTGAGAATAAGATTACTGGACACGTGCAGGAAATATTGTTGAATAAGCTTCGAAATATATATAGTTGTGGCTGGCAATGTTTCGTATTTTCAGATCGAATAAAGAATTTCCAGCAGTTAGCATTTGACAGTTACGAATTACTTTTACCGCACGTTTCACATTTAGACAATATCAAGCTATTATTAATGTCATGTTTTGATAACGGTGATGTTTTACCGTCAACTTATAATTTTACATTGGGAAAAAGACTACAGATGATATATTCAATCAGGAATTCAAAAATAAAATACCTATACTTGTACTATATGTCGAAGCTATGTTGTAATCAAAGTGAATTATTACCGACTAAGGCAATTTCCGGTAATAAATCTGCTTGTAAAAAGTACAAAAGATACTTAAGTTCTCTGTTGCTCAATACCAATCATGATGCTGTATCTGGATGGTTGCTGTTAGCTTCGTTTTTCTATAAGACACACCAGTACAGTGTAGCTCTTACCATCCTTCAGTACTCGTTACTTAAATGTTCACCCGAGAAACTTTGTTTAGGTATTCGTTTGACACCAAGCCAGGAAGATTTAATTAATTTAAATTTCTTTCATAAGAATATGAAAACTGTTCGGTTGATGAAGTTCATGCTGCTTGAAAGAGTATTTTTTTCCCGACTCGATATTATTACCAAGAGAACTAGAAATTGAAGCAGGTGGAAGTGTGAGCCCTATTCCACCTGTAGTTTTTCCTCATTTTTTTCGATTTCTGTACCATTATCATCTTAACAATTCCAGACAATGTCAAGATTCTTTCCGAGATTTACAATTGACTGTGAAAGAAGACTATTTCATAGCTCATGACCTACAGCTCGCTATATCTTACGTAGTCCTAGGTATTTCTTGTCAACTAGTTGGAGACAAAGAATCTGCGACACAAGCATTCGTGAAATCTATAGAAATATACCCAGATGAGGAATTAAAACCCGTAACTAGTGTAATATGTATTACTAGCTTATAAATAGTACACAATTATTTAATCACGAGAAAAATATATAACACACTGATTAAGCCAAACTTATATGTCAATTTCTTGTTACCTGTAATTAGAAAAGGAAGTAGATGAAAGGGAATTCCCCGTTGTGAAGGTAAATAAATTCATAGTTATCAACAAGAATGGAAGAATATATGTATTCAGTAACATATTTTACAGCTTTGTTTTGTTCAGAATAGTTTTTGTATAATATAATTCAATGTAAATCTGTTTAATGTAAACATACACCTAATGTATTTTTGTCTTTGTTTTTTTTCACATTGAAAAGTAATTTTCGATTTGAATACCACATTGATAGCAACGTAAATGATTGTGTCATGGTTGATAAACACTATAACAAAACATATGAAAATAACAGACTGTTTAGTTTCATACCAGTTAATTTTTTAATAGGTTATGACAGAAAGAATATCGAGATTACGTACCAGTGCGTCCATGCATTGTTTAATCAGCCTCAAATGGAAATAAATTTATAATGTCTTATACAAAACTCATTCATAATACCAGATATATAGCTGTGTATGCCAAACGCACGTGTCGACTACAGGAGTAATATGCATTCAGTAACATTTCTTTCGCCCCTCTTCTACAGATACCAGTAAATGTTGCTTAAATTAAAAAAGTTGGAAGGCAAAGTTTTAGATACACATAAAACCAGGTTTTAGCCACTATTTTTGTTTCTAGGGAAATACCTGTACCAATTCATGAATATATAAATTTTGTTCATATTTGTCAATTATACCTTTCACTCTGTTAAAGTAAGCAATAATATCGAATATATTATAAGTTATATGTCAATCTGACAGTAAAACATATATAAGCCCGATAATAGATATGCATTGTATCTCAAAATACTGTCTTCATCAATAGACAACCTTTAAACAATATGTAAAGTTGGTGTGTCACTAGAGTCGAGCTCCGACTCTTGCATGCTAAACGTTGAGAAATAAACAAATTGCCGAGAAGTTTGCCCATAAATCATCTGCCTTCCAGTAATACAGCACATCTAAATCTCCAAATATGATATCTGTATCATTGCCTTTTCTGGCTTGGGATAAGGACAATCACATGTGGAATCCCGTGTTACAAGATTCAAAAGCAAAATGTAGATCATGATCATCATACATCTGAAATAATATGCATGAGGTGAAAACGACGAATTAGCAAATTCAACTTTATATATAGGACAATGGTGTTGAAAAAAAGAATACACCATTCCTGACCTTTTGTTTTCAACATCATATAACTATCAATGATTAATAAATTCCAGGTCAAATCAAAAACCGATACCAATAGTATATGTCACACATATGTTTCCGGTTGTAATTCTTTTTTATTGTTCCCTCAACCATATGGAGTGCAACTTCTATATTTTATTACAAAAAACTAGAACAGGTTCAAACAGAAAGATTTTAAAAGCAGAAAAAAACGGCGCACCTTATAATCAGCATGAATTTATTAAATGACAATACCAATAATAAAAAGCTAGGCTAACAGTAATGCGTATGTTCTTCAATTCAGTCACGAGCGGTTTATTCTAGTACTATAGAAGAAACACGGTATTGCTTTGCCTTTCTTTTAAAATTTGAGTACTGAGGTTTTCCTCTAGACTGTTTTATTTTAAAATTTAAATTTGTATTGCGATACTTATTAAACATCTTTTTCGCCGAAAACAATTTCTAACTCAAGATTTTAGTAAAAATTTGACATTCAGTTTAATTCGTGATTTAATTATAACTTAACTGGAATGTTGACTATCATTCAAAGTTGAAATATAAACATAACTTCAACTCGAACTCCAGGATTATGTCTACCTTTATTAAAACTTGATGGTTAGCTACATTTGTAAACGCGTTTCTTGTCTAGTTTGTTTTAACAGTAACAGTAAACAATGATTTGAATGTCTTTTGATGGATGGTTATTTCTGACAACCTACAGGTATGGTCAATACTACTGGGTCTGTGGAGTTTAGCCTATAGACACAAATCAACAATACATATCTAATAAATCCTTTCATCATCACATAAGCTTACAATCATACTTCATGCAAGACTGAAACCTTAATCTATTTTAATATATTGGTGTATGTAAAACTACTGTTATGAATTTGTGTTCTTCTAGAAACTGCAACACAAAATGAATCCATCGCTCTGTATAGGTTTATGTGTGATAATATTGTTGGATCAGAGGAGCATGTAAAAACAATCAGAATGATGAACACTGTCAGAGACAATTTACAAAGCAACAATTATTGCACACATATCACCAGTGGAAGCTTTGGAGAAGGGCTGGAGATGAAAGGTAGTGATTTGGACATAATGTATGTTATTAAAGTAATCGAGGTATGCGAAGACGCAAACTTTCGTAGCAAACGTGAGACATCATATTTTATAATGCAAATAGAAGACAGCCAGCCAGGTTTCATACAATTACAGCTAGTATACACTAATGATCAGATTATCCATAATGATTGTGAAAAGATAGGATATGATTACTACTACTCAAGTTTTTTATTTAAACGACATTTTGCAGAAAACACAGTTGCCACTGTTCATGGCCCATGCTTATCCGACGAACGGGGAATATTAGACTTAGCATTCTGCTTGCATAGTAAGTCTTGGGTAACACCAGCAAAACAATGGATAACACGATCAAATACCTCCTGGCCGATGTGCGAAGTAAAACAGACAATTTTAAAACATGGTGTTCTCTTTGTACCAATAGGTGTAAAAGGATCTATGAAAGAAGATTTAGAATGGCTCATATCATTTTCCGTTGGAGAAAAACTTCTTATTTTTACATTTACGCATACTCAGTTACTATGTTACGCTCTAATGAAAATACTTCTTAAAGATGTTATAGCTTCAAACCTAAATGTTTCAGATTTGCTTTGTTCATATTTCATGAAAACCGTTATGTTTTTGATATCTGAAGAATTATCTACATCAATATGGAAGCCTGAAAAAATTGATATCTTGTTTCATGAGATGTTTTAGGAGGCTTACATACTATGTTAGATTTTCTGTGTGTCCACATTATTTTATTCCATCGAATAATTTATTTGAGAGTAAGATAAAAGGACGGGTTCAGGAAATGCTTTTGAACAAGTTAAATAGTTTACACTGTTATGGTTGGCAATGTATCTTATTTTCAAAACAAATTTCGAATTTAGATACATTGGCATATGACATTATTAATGAGCCACGTTTTTCTCAAGTCCGCAGTGTGAAAGAGTTACTATGTCCAAAGACTCATTTAGTAGACAACTTGTCGTGGAATAAAAACTTGATTCTGGAAAAGGGGATACACAGGATATTGTCTATAAAGAGTTCCAAAATCAAATCCCTATACACGTACTATATTTCAAGATTGTGTCACATAAGTGACCAATTGCTACCATGTCATGGCACATCCGATAATAAATTAACTTACAAAAAATACAATACCTCCTTAAGTACTCTGTTACTGGGTACGCGCAATGACGCAGTTTCTGGATGGCTGTTGTTAGCTTCGTTTTTCTATAAAACAAAAAAATACAGAACAGCTGTTGATATCGTTCAGTATTGTTTTTTGAAATGCACACCGGAAAATCTTTACCCAGGCATGAATTTATCACATGTTTATAAAGAATTATTCAATTTGCATTTATTTAGTGAGATGACTATTGCTCAGTTGTCGAATTTTCTGCTTGTAGGTCCTGTGATATTGCCTTCAAAATCTCGACTAGTACCGGATGAATTACAATTCGATGCACACGACAATCAACACATTATATCCCCAGTAGTTTATGTTCATGTCCTACGTTTTCTCTGTCATTATCATCTTTATGATACAGGTGAATGTCGTGATGCTATCCGAGATCTCCAATTGACTATAGCGGAAAACTGTTTCATATTAATTTCCTTTGAAGAGGCTACATCTTACAAAAAGCTCGGTTTGACTTTTCAATTATTAGGAGATACGGAATCAGCGAGACAGGCATTTTTGCAATCATTAGAAATATTTCCAGATCCAACTTTAAATGATGAGTCAATGAGATTAGCATTGATTAGATAAACATAATTTTGATAATGCATACTATGTTTAATGTATTTCTCCATTAGTGACTGCAGGATTCTATCACATACTAAATTTGTTTTGTTTGATATTTTGTAATAATCATTATCAATATTGATGTTATTCTTAGATTTTTTTTCTAACAAACCTATGATAAAGGAAAAAAACAATTGTTAGTAAAGTTAAAATGCCTTAACGTGTCTACTTGTTCCGATAATGGTAGAGACTTCCGAAAAAGTTCATGTCACGTCCGGTTAAATGAACAGTACAAATCGTACGCTTCAGAAAACCAGCCAACGCAATTGGTAGACGAATATCAAAGAGTTGGACACACTTAGTATACATATATGACGAACGTATATAAAGTCAGAGCAATTGAGCAACATAAGAATAAGGGGTTCGTACTTTGCAGTGGAATTATTTCAGAACTACTTAAGATCATTTTAAGATAACATTGGGTTTATAAACGATTTTGTTCACTTATTATCTGATTTAGTTAAAAATATACATAACTATGAGGTATGGTTTATGCGGTATGGGCTTTGGGCTTTGTTAATTGTTGAAGTCCGTACGGTGACCTATAGCTGTTAATTTCTGTGTCATTGTGGAGAGTTGTCTCAGTGGCAATCATACGACATCTTCTTTTATATATATATATATGTGTTTCCGTTTGAATGGTTTTACACTTGTAATTTTTTGGGGCCCTTTATAGCTTGCTGTTTGGTGTGAGCCAATGCTCCGTGTTGAAGGCCGCACCTTGACCTATAATGGATTACTTTTATAAATTGTAACTTGGATGGAGAGTTGTCTCATTGGCACTCATACCACATCTTCCTATATCTATATATATATGTATGTGATGTGCAATGGCTGTAAAACTGGGCATCATTATTGCCATATATATCTAAGATAAGAAAAGGAAAGGTAAATATCCTTTCTTTTTGTTTCTTTGGCGTTAAACCTGACACATTTTATGTAAGTTTTAAAAAGGACTTCAATGTCTTTCAACGATCGATTTTGAAGGAATAATTATACGTAAATACATTTCATTTTTATATATAAAAAGATGAAATGTCACTGGTAACATCAATTTTAGTTAAGAACCTCATTATTTATAGTTTAAAGACCTCTTCTGAATTGAGAACATTTGCTTGAAGGATAACTTTCATTGCGGCTTAGAAATCAATATAGACGTAATATTTAGGTGCAATACTACTAAAACATAATACATCACATCCGCTTTCATACAAAAAAGGGTCGACAACAAATAGTCCCTTGAATTTGACTATTGTAGGAAATAAACCCTGCTTTTCATTGCAGAACAAAATTTCTGAGTCATAAAACTTATATTTTTTTTGGTGTTTAAAAGCCCCATTCTATGTTATTAGGTGTTTGTATAAAATATTTTGGAAACTTTAGGTAACTTGGTCATTAGAGTCTGTAAACAGGGGCAAAAGGGGTAAACATTTAATAGGTTTACATCCTTTGGTGGGTATCATCTTATTTGTAATGACATGTTATGTGATATTTTAATGTTGTACTGCACATTATGAAACTATATGAGTGTCAATTATTTCTTCATTTGAAACAAAAACTTGTTTTGAAATGCCAATTCAAGAAAGACAAAGTGGTAACAAAATGGTGGCATTACTGTATATCAATGAAATAGTTTGCCATAAGCAATTGTATGTTCACAATATTAAATATTTATATCATATATGTTTTCTTATAGTTATTTCTAAATTTTAGAAACTTTATCAACAACAAAAAGGGTAATGTCAGATTCCCAATTGTGAACTTTCAATTTTAGCCAGAAACATTCCATCAGAACTTTTTTGAGTATATATCTCCCGTTGGTACGATATTCCAGCTCTTCCATTTTCTATCATTATTTCCTTAAAGATGGTTGCTGCTTATAAGAATTAAAAATACTCTTTTGAACGACATGTACTAATGGATCAAAAAGTAAAATCACAAAAAATACTGAACTCCGAAGAAAATTCAAAATGGAAAGTCCGTAATCAAATAGCAAAATCAAAAGCTAAAACACATCAAACGAATGGATAACAACTGTCATATTCCTGACTTGGTACAGGCATTTTGTTATTTTGTTATGTAGAAAATGGTGAATTAAACCTGGTTTTATAGCGCTAAACCTCTCACTTGTATCTCAAGTTGTAGTCAGCCCTTCTAGAGTTTTGCAGACACAAGCACAAATTGTTAAACCGTTATCCACATGTATTTCAATCATGGCTTTACTATCCGTTGTTTGTGAATTTGTGTCTTTTTTGTCACTGTTCTTTTTCGCAATCAAATCATCTGTTTTTCTCTGACTTCTGAGTTTTAATGTTGCATTGGCATTTTTCGACTTTTTTTTAAAACTATCGCAATAAACGCAAAACAGTTATTGGTGGCATCCAACCACAGTATCACAAGTTTTTGGAAAGAATCATGTATTCCTTAATTAACTATGAATTCAAAAGTTTTGTTACAGCAAATGTAAATCAGTATCTGTCCGATGTTAGAATAGGTAACAGAAGAAACTCTGGAAACTGACAAAATCAAACGCTATCAATGAACGGGAAAATGACAGCAATATTTCTAAAGAAAATGATGGTTAAAACCTGGTTTAATTGCTTGCTCGAACTGTCCACTTTTATGACAGTTGTGTAAGTGTTAATGACTTTTTTATTTTGATATGTAACATACAGTGACACCAGTAATCAATCTGAACTAGATATAATACATTGAACGTGCCAACCACCTCGTCCCCGTCCGAATATTGCAAAAAAATTGCATTTTGCGGCATGACATTGATATAGAATATGCATATTTCCCTTTCTTGTGTCCAGTCGAGTGTATTTAATTATATTAGACCTGTCTAAACCATTTGTTAACATGGAATTATCAGTCTGACACTTCTATCTATTTGCATCTAATTTTAAATTCAGTTTTCTTCAGAACCAGCCATACAAATTGCATCAGTAGCTCTATATAGATATTTGTGTCAGAATATTAGAGCAACAGAGGAGCAAGTGATTACAATAAGAATGATGAACTCTATAAGAGACAATTTACACCAGCGAAAGCTTTGGAGAGGAACTTGAGATGCGAAGTCGTGATTTAGATATAATGATTGTTATGACATGGATAGATGTTTATGAAGACTAAAACGTTAATTCTAATATCGATAAAACATATCATGCAACGGAAACAAGAAACACAACCAGGTTTCTCAAAGTTACGTTTACTACACAGTAGTTATCAGAGTGTTTTTGAAAGTTATTACTACTTTTCAAACTCTTTATTTAAGAAATGATTTTTAAACGCAGCTGACCTTATTGTTCATGGTCTATGTGTATCCGACGAATATGGAAAACATGACATTGTCATTTGATTTCGTAGTAGAACACAGTTAACTTCAACGAAAGAATGGATAACTCGATCAAATGCATCTTGGTCTAAATACGATTTGAAGCAGTATATTGCAAAAAAAAACATAGAGTACTTTTTGTGTCAATAGGTGTGAAAGGATCTATTAAAGAAGAATTAGAATGACGATTATCGTTTTTTGTCGGAATAGCTTTTATTTTTTTTTTTTTTTGCATATTAAGTTGGTATGCTTTGCTCTCATGAAAATTTTTCGGAAAGACGTAATATCTCAAGACTTAGTTTTTACTGATTTGCTTTGTTCATATTTCATGAAAACCATGATGTTTTGGATATCGGAAGAATTGTCTACATCAATATGGAAACCTAAAAACTTGATATCGTGTTATCGGAGATGTTTAACAAGGTTTATTTATGATGTTGATTTCTCAGTGTGTCTACATTATTTTATTCCAAAGAATAATTTATTTGAAAATAAGATAAAAGAACAATCACATCAAAGTCGTTCAAAAAAATTGCATATTCTAAGCAGTTAAAGTTGGCAATGTATCTTTTTTTCGAACCAAATTTCGAATTTTTATACATTAGCATATTTCATTAGCAAGAAGCCACGATTTTTACATGTCTGCAATGTTGAAGTGTTTATATGTTTAATGGGTTATGATCCAGACAATTTTTCATGGGGAATTCGAAGTGACTTGATTCTTGAAAAAGGGATACACAGGGTATTGTCTATAAAGAGTTCTTAAATCAAATCCCTATACACGTACAATATTTCAAAATTGTGTTACAGAAGTGACCAATTACCACCATCTGCTGACATATCCGATAATGAATTTACGTATAAACAGTACAATACCTGTGTAAGTATTTTGTTGATCGGTACGCGCCATAATGCTGTATCTGGATGGCTATTGTAAGCTCCGTTTTGCTATAACAGAAAGGAATATAAAACAGCCCTTTAAAATGCACACCGGAAAAACTTTACCAAGGCACGAAATTGTCACCAATTTATAAAGATTTTTTTTTATTTGTATATATCTATGGGATGACTAGTGTTCAGTTATCAAAGTTTATGATTTTAGGAAATGTGACATTGTATTCAGACTCATTACCGATTGAAATACGAATCGAAGAAAAAAACAGTTTGCACATTATACCCAAATTTGTGTACCGAACAACAATGTTGGGATTATCTACTATATTTAGAATCTACTATAACGGACAACTATTGCATAGGAAATATCTCCGAAAAAGGATCATCTTATTCATGCTCGGCATAATTTTTCAATTATTAGGAGACAAAAAAATCAGCGATAAAAGCATTTGTGCAATCGTAATACATGTTGGACTAAGATCCAGACCCATGTCAAGGAGATAAGGATTGATTGGTTAAACATAGCTATGAAAATGTATAATAAGTGATATTTATTTCCTACCAAGCTGAGCAAGAGATGTGTCCATGGTTTGTCAAATGTCAAAGTTCGTTCTAGTCGAACTACTGAGAGCTCGAAATATTTCCGTGATCCGGCTGATTTCGAGATAACGAGAGTCGACTGTATGTTCTGCTATGGGTAAGGTCTAATAAAACAATCGCAAGTCATATCAAGTGGATGTACATAACAAGTCGTCAGTCTAGGTAGAACAGGCAACGCAATGGAATAATGGTATTAAAGAGTTAAACATACTGTAGTCAATTGAGACCTTGACTTTTCAATTGTATACCTCAGATCCTTTTTTCATTACGTCATAGCAAACAAGATTTCACTTAGTTATTGAATGGACAGAAATATTTAAGCGATATGTAATGGCTGTTGCATTTATTACTCATCTTTATACCTACAGAAACACACACACACACGCACACATGGCAGTCACTTTTAACCAAATATGGGAATACATATTTAGTATTAGTTTTGTGCACCAATGCATTTATAATATGTAAATAGTATTAAATATCAGGGCACTATTTAAGACATATCTAGCTTAGTAAATACACGAAGTGTAATTTAACATTTACCAATATATTGTTGAATACTAGTTTTAGATAAATGCATTTCATTTTAATACATGTTATATTGTAGACAAAATAAACTGTGACTGCAATTTTCCAGCAAGTAACTTTTTTTTCAATCAAATCGGTACGTTGTTCAATACACTGGTATACATTACAACAAAGAGGCAAATCTGCAGTAGGAAGACAGCGCATACTATGATTGTGTATTCCCTTGGTTCGTCTATCTCTCTTTTTAAGTTCCCATACGAACTTCATTATTTATAGTTGAAGACATCATCTCAATTGATTGCATTCGAATGAAGGTTCCTTCTCTTAGCCACATAATACATCTTGATATGTATTTCTAATATTCTTAAACATGATATTAGAATGACTAAGATAGTTTATAAGAGCCAATTGCGTGTCCTAGATATAAGATATTTACTGTTTACCTTAAGCTATTTCGAGTTTTTTTTTTAAATTCTAAAAATAAACGTATTTCAATATGTGTCAAGTTTTATGCTTTGTTAAGGCATACTACATTTATTGTATTCATGCAAAACAAAGTCGTACAGCGCTGGCTGCTGATGTGATACAGTTCGCAAAGAATTTATAATTACAATTTTGATAGCAATGATTGTATTCCCTATTCATGCTATTCTGTAATCATTTTAATGGTCCCTAAAATTATTTTCTATCTATATTTCTGTTTGTGCCCTCAACGGCTATGAATCAACAACATTTGTCGATATGACATACTATCTAATAAGACCAATTTCGCTAAAGAAGACAATATTTTGAAATTATTATAATACATGTAGTAAGATATATGTCATCATTGTTATATTCCCGATTATAACTGTTATACGATCGTATACTTGCTGTGCGGCGTGTTTTGATGTTTTGTTCATTCAACTTTCATTGATTTATTTTTTTAATTTTTGTTATGGTTTCGATTGGATAATCTGTTATGTCTTATCGTTTATGGTCCAAATAATTATAATATTGTCTTTCCATACCATCATTGTCATGAAAGGTTTTTGGATAAATATTGTAAAATGATTGTAGATAGTTCGAGATTTCATGTTAGTGACGAAAGTGCGTCACTGTTTTATTATATCCTGTGGTCGTAGATGGAATATGTTCGTTGTGGTTCTGCGGTTTGCATGTTGTGTCGACTATTATATACATTATTTGATAGTGCGCTTCTCTGTTGTGAATGTTATTTCGTGTATTTGTGTTGTATTTTTGTCACGTAGTGTTTAAGCGATGTTCTTTTTTAACATTGCCATTAAGCAAGGGGTTTAAAATGCCATTAACCCAGATTCAACCCATCATTTTTTTCTAAAAATGTCCTCTGTCAAGTCAGGAATATGGCAGTTGTTATCAAATAGTACGGTTCTATGTGTGTTGGCGTTTGTTTTTGTTGCACTTCGGTGTTCCTGCTGTTCCATTGTTTTCCTCTTATAGATGATGATGATGATGAGGAGGAGGAGGAGGTGGAGGAGGAGGAGGAGGAGGAGGAGAGGAGGAGGAGGAGGAGGAGGAGGAGGTGGTGGTGTGGGTACTCGCAACCATGTGCATGTTTAACCTGTTCATATTATTTTATTATTGCCGCTTTTACATAAATTAGAGTTATTGTATTACGTTATTATAAACAGCTTTTTCAGAGTTAAAACTAGATGAAGGTCTGACAAATATAATGTGCACTACTAAAACAATTATTCCGATACTGTCCAAATGTTAGGTCCGTTTGAAAAAAATAAGAGTTGTTGAAAGCAATAGTTTAAACGCACGTCAATGTATAACTGTACAACCAAGACTTATACCTGATGAAATTGAATCAGCATCCAGCATTTATTGATGTAAATATATGTATATTGGGGTCTCTACTATCCATTTATTCCTAGTTTCATCTTATAATTGTATTTTTACCAATTGCATTTCATTCCGTATCGTCTGATTTTTGGTTTAGTGTAAATTCCTATATTTGATAATGTTTTTAAGAGGCGATATCCCTTTTAAGGCATCCGTTTTTTTTTTCTAATTATATTTATTTGACTTTGACAGGATAACAAGAAACAACAAGTATAAATTACATATGTGTCAATGGAATAAATTAACTTTGTATTAATATATACTGTAAAATTGCATTGAATATGTAATAATTTATAAGTGATTTAAAGATTATTTCAGATTAAGAAAACAAAAGAAAGTACGGCTTGAATAAAGAAAAGTAGAATCAGTTAGGTAAATCTATTTTAAAATCCTATTAATTTCATGAAATCTTTAAATGAAAACAAAAGTAATTATGAGGGGAATCCCCGTTGTGAAGGTAAATATTTCACAGTTTACAATCATAATGACAGGTAAATTGAAATTTGTATTTTATAATACATACTTTCGAGCTTGCATCTATCCTTATGAATATTTTTCATACGATTTAAGTTTAAAACCTTTTTGATTATTAATTTTATATCGTTTCTACGCATGTATGCATTCAGGGCGTTTAAATATTAGTATTTGAGCGTTCCTGGTGAATGTTTATTTATACATTTTTTTTTTTTACTTGGACACTTTTTTCTAAATACGCATATTTAAACATATTGCATTTTTTAAGTTTTGTTGAATGATTAATGTGGGTTAATTGGATTAATTCACTGCCGTATTAATAGTGTTGAACAAATATATTGCCAGATTTGTTTTTTTCAACTGATTTTTTTTAAAGGACAGGATGTTAAATTGAACCATTATGTTTCCTTATGATGAAAATCATAAATGTTCTAATCTGTAAATGTTTTGAAATAGGGTGCACAGCTATAATTTTTAGTTGGTATATACTCCGTCTTACAATTATCTCCAAACTATAAACTGATCGCTTAATATGTTTCTGTGGTATCACATAATGGCTAAGCACTGAACATACAAAATCGATGATGTATTTATTTTTCCAAATCTCCTTCGTTGTAATCTTTGTAATACAATTTATAGTATTCACAATATTTCCTAGGTATGATGTGTAAGGTTTTACTATCGTTTCGTCAGTTATTACAGGAAATAAACAAAAATGATAGCTCCTTTCACTGCGTTAACCTGGTGCTGACATATTTGTATTGATTAGATATTTTTAGACATTGGTTAAACTTTCAAATTAATTTTGTCATTCTGCTGTTGTTATGCATATATATCTTGGTAAAATTTAATATACATGAATTTCTGTTTGGTATAATATATCTCAATACGATCATATACATATCAATTACAGGCATTGATTTCGAATTTGATGTTGAATATATTTGTGTTGAGAAGAACTGTTTATCCTCTGAAATAATTTTGTTTTGTAACATACAAACGAACATGGATGGATACCCTATATCCTTTGTTTTTTCTATTATGTCATCAATATTGTATTAGGTAAAAACTTGAGTCCTGTCTCAATCTGACTTACAAATTGAAAGGTGTGTTTAATCTGATTGACTCCTACATGTAGATAAGTTAAAGATTAAATTTTCCATTTTTCCAGAATCATCTATTCACAGTGCATCATTAGCTCTGTATAAGTATATGGGTCAGACTATTGTTGGAACAGAAAAGCAGGTGACATTAATCAGAATGATGAACTCTGTACAAGACAATTTAAACAGCAGCAACGAGTGGACAATTATTACTAGCGGAAGTTTTGGAGAAGGTCTGAAAATGCGAGGTAGTGATGTAGATACTATGGAGGTTATGAAATGTATTGAAGTTTGTGAAGCCACAACTATTCCCTTTAATCATGATACAAGTTATTTTACAATCGAAACAAAGGATACACCGCCATGTTTCACTAAGTTACGTCTAGTACACACTGTTGATCAGAGACTCTTTCAACTCTGTGAACAAATAGGGAGTGATTATTACCTTTCGAGCTCCTCATTTAAACAACATTTTTTATGCGACAATTTCCCGACTGTTCACGGCCCATGTATATCCGATAAGAGAGGAATGCATGACCTAGCATTCTGTGTACATAGTAAATCTTGGATTATACCAGCCAAACAATGGATTATCCGATCAACAAACTCTTGGCCGGGTTACGATATTACACAGTCAATCGTTAAACACGGCATACTATTTGTACCAATAGGTGTTAAAGGATCTATAAAAGAAGATTTAGAATGGCGAATATCTTTTTCAGTTGCAGAAAAACTATTAATTTATACATTTACACATACACAACTGTCATGTTATGCAGTGTTTAAAATTCTTCTTAAAGATGTTATAGATTTAGACATAGATTGTAAAGGATTGATATGTTCATATTTCATGAAAACAATTATTTTTTGGATATCTGAAGAAATATCTACATCAATATGGAAACCGAAAAATTTGATATCTTGTTTCATGAGATGTTTCAGGAGGCTTATTTATTGTGTTGAATATTCAGTTTGTCCGCACTTTTTCATTCCTGAGAATAATTTATTTGAAAATAAGATAGAAGGACTCAAAAGGGAGATACTTATAAAAAGGTTGATTTTTCTAAACAGTTATGGTTGGCAATGCATTCTATTTTCAGACCAGCTTTCGAATTTTCATAAACCGCCATTCGATATTATCAAAAATCAAAACGTTGTTGATGACAATAGTGTTAAACAATTTTCGTATTCAATAATGTTTGCAGGAGACAATGTACCGACTCCTTTAAAAGTTACATTGCAAAAAGTGATACATAAGCTTTTTTCGATTAAGAGTTCGAAAATTAAAAACGTATACACGTACCATTTATCAAAATTTGTCTGTAATTGTGATGAATTGAGTATATCTGAGGGTATATCCTGTAATAAATCTACCTATATGCAATATACTATCTGTATGATTGCACTTCTAATGGCCACACGACAAGATGCTGTTTCGGGTTGGCTCTTGTTAGCTTCATTGTTCTATAGATCAAAACAATACAATACAGCTGTAAGTATCCTCAAATATTCACTTTTAAAATGTACACCTGAAAAACTTTACCGAGAAATGAAATTGTCGCATATTCATTATGCGTTCTTTAATTTAGATTTTTTCAGGAAGATGACTTTTATTAAGCGGACAATGTGGCATTTAGATTGTGTTGGATTTAATAAAAACTCTCTGATAATACCAAATGAATTGCATACAGAAGTAGAGAAGATGGAATATCTAATACCACCAGTAGTATATGCACAGTATCTTCGTTTCCTGTGTCATTACCATCTTGAAAATACCGATCAATGCCTTGATTCTCTCCGAGATCTACGATTGACTATAGAGAGAAGCTATTTCATTGTAGATTCCCCTCAGAAAGCTGTATCGTACAATATCTTAGGCATAAGTTTCCAACAGTTAGGAGACATAAAATCAGCGAGACAGGCATTTATACAATCAATTCAATTAGATCCAGATAGAGATGACAATAGCGCGTTTCAAAGATTGTCATTGATTAGCTGACCATGATTATTGTTATGTTGGTGTGTTTCTTTATCTTTGCTTACCAGATCATTGTATGTAATCTGTGCACAAATGTGTTGTTCTAAACTATAAGGAAAAAAAAACTTGTAGTGCTGAATGGCATGGTATATATGCATATATCATGTATGATGTTATGATATTGTAATTATTATGTTTTTTAATCTTGGCCTTATTTGTTTTGTTTGACTTGAAAGATGTTTACATTTGGTTACAGTTGTTTACAAAATAGTGTTATAATTATGCCGCTCGAAAATCACTGGAACAATCATAGATACTGATTAAATGGTTAGAACTTTCATAATGATTTAGGAATGGTCATAGTCTACAATGCGTAATTTAAACTTCTATAGTTTACTACAAGATTCCCTTCTACATTGTTCTTACAGTTTCTGTGGTAACTATATATACATACACCAACATGAGTCTTATTGATACATTAATATACTTGTATTCCCAGAAGTTCTCTGGAGTTGTTGGGTTGACATTAGTTTTTACGAACGACATCATACTAGATTGTGTACTTATTGAACATACATATATTACATTGGATTCCGTACAATTGATTGAAGAAAACCTGGCAAATCAAGGACAAAGGATCAGACATGTTATATTTTAACAGTTAAGTTGACATTTTAATTTGTATAATACTTTTTGAAAAAATTGTATAACAAATCTTGTTAAATGTTAGTGTTGATTTGTGTCGTTTGTTGGCTATAATTTAAATTTGATTTCTGACGGTAACAATAACTCAATTGTTAATTGTAACCTTAACAAGTTTAATAAATAATTTGTGTTTTTGTTTGTTAATAAAGTGTTCGGCTATCTCAATTTTCCATTACATTTACACATCACCTGTTGATGAAAAATGTTTCAGTAGCAAATACCATTTATTTGTGAAACATGACACACATTGCCTCAATTATAACATGTATAAATGGTCAATTGACTGTAAGGATCCATGAACCTTCTACGTAAACAAAATTGTCCACTTCTTAGCAGTAACATACTATCTGTTTTTTCGAATCGTGCATGATCAAACTATAACAAGGTAGTTCTCATTAAAACAAAAATTGCGCGATACCATATATCGGAGTGTCAAAATCCTTTACAATTGTCATCAAAATAATGGCATTCTCGCAAATATTAGAGAATATATAATTTTTACAATGATTTTAATTGTCATGACCTTTTTTTTGAATCTTTCAAATCACATTTACAGTTTTAAATATAATATCCTTTTTTAAGATGACGAGGGACAAAACCAGTTAATAAAAAAGGACAAATTAGTGGTGCTAAAGCAAACTATGGATATCATTTCAACTAATGAAGAGTAGAAAACGAATAATAATTCAAAACTTAAAATAACTTTGCATTTGCGTGTATAACATTAAAATTGTAATCACATAGTTTTATCAAGTTGTCAAAATTGTCAATGCATGATTTAATGTTTTCAAACGTTGAAGGCACACAATCTCAACATTATTAAAGCATACGCGGTCTGGTGATTCTTTTAACTTGATTAACAAATAGAATTAGATTGAGGTGAATCCCCGTTAAATACCCATGTAAATTAATTCAAGATCTACAATAAAATGGCAGATAAAAATATTCCATATCATATTTCTATTTTTATTTTCAATACCGATAAGATGCTTGAAAGAATATTTAAAACAAAGTACTTTTTTCACGTTATACTACGAATTAAGCAAGTGTAAAGTATTATGAGTATAGCATACAATGTATTTCACAGTAAGTACTCTATATTTTTGTTATGTATTTGCACTGTTGGAAAGAATTTTTTTCGTTGTTTTTGGATACATTAAATGAATGAATGAATGAATGAATGAATGAGTGAATCTTTTTTTTTTGGCAAAAGCATAGACATGTTATGGCAAAATTGACAACATATGTTACATAACATAGAACATGGACAGACAGCAGAGAAAAATAGTTTAATGTTATAATGACAAATGTAAAGTTACACAATCATATGAGAGATCTAATATTCCATGCAGTTTTTATATAATTACATAATTTTATAGTAAGAACCTTATTTTACTAACTAAATTTATCTTAAACAATCACGTCTGTGTCGATAACAGTAAACACGATTACTTCGTTAACATATCTAAGATAGAAAATGTTTTCACGGTATATAAAATTCAAAAGAGAAAGTTAAGGTTTTCACGGTATATAAAATTCAATAGAGAAAGTTAAGGAATGTGAGGTCGCAATCACAATAATTTTCTTATCATGTGCCACAACGATTTTATGTCTTGTGTTTTTTTAAACATATAGTTGAATGTATAATATCTACTCCAAAGTTTGTCCATAATTGTCAAATTATGTACAGTTTATACATATGAAATCAATATGTTGGGTTCATAGAAAGTTGGAAGATAGCTCTCATAAATTGCATTCCGAAAAGAAAAGGAAAAAACCTAGAGTTGATGCCCCATTTCGCAATCAAAATCGAAGCATAATTCAAACTTTAATTTAAACTTCAACTGACACTCGAAATATATCAATCTCGTGCTTTAACTTAAACATCTTTGTTTTTCAAATACCTACTCTTTCTAGCGTTTCCTTTGCTGTTAAGTCTAGAAACGCGCTTTGCACACATACCCAGTAAAAAGCGATGATTTTTAATTTGTTTAGCTTCATTCTTTTTCGTAAACGGATTTATAGTCTAGTAATTCGACTTTTGCCTTGACCTATGAACCATAACTTTTATGGCAGTTTAGAGTGTATTTGATTTTACATGGTAATCACCTACATGTATGGTACATATGAGAGTCAATGAGTCTGAACAATAATGTTCATACTTTTTCTTCCGAAATAATTTAATCTTGCAGGACACAATCGAAATGTTGTGTCAAGTAAAACGATGTGATGGCTTATCCATTTTATAAGTCCGTTCTCAATCATACGTCCAGAGCATGTAAGAAATGTTAACCGCTAGACGTAAAGAAACAAAAATCTATCAATAAGTGGTTTCATCGTTATTTAAACTTGAATCTCGTATTCGACATATGTCCTAAACAATCATAATACATTAATATAAAATTATATACAACGTCTATTATAATATTTTTTTGTAATTTTCCAGAAACTGCGGGACGAAATACATCAATAGCTCTTTATAGGTATATGGTCAAAATATTGTCGGAACAGAGGAGCATGTAAAACAATCAGAATGATGAATACTGTCAGAGACAATTTACTAGGCGACAATAAGTGTACACTAATCACCAGTGGAAGTTTTCGAGAGGGACTCGAGATGCGAGGTAGTGATTTAGATATGATGATGGTAATAAAAGAAATCGATGTGTGTGAAGACGCAAGTGTTGGTTTAAAAAATAACACAATATATCTTAAAATAGAAACAGAAGTTTCACCAAGTAACGTCTAATGTATAGTAATGATCAGAGTATCTTCAAAATGTGTGATGAGCTAGGAGCATGGTCCATGTTTATCTAATGAAATAGATGGAACCATTGACTTGGTTATATGCTTACAAAGTAAATCATGGATATCACCAGCAAAAGAATGAATAACACGTATATTAAATACAGCGTGGCTGGGGTACGATGTGAAACAGTCTATCATCAAACACGGTGTACTTTTTGTTCCCATAGGTGTAACAATATCTACAAAAGAGGAATTAGAATGGCGAATGTCCTTTTCAGCTGGAGAAAAGCTTTTGATTTATACATTTACGCATAGTCAGTTACTTTGCTATGCTCTCATGAAAATTCTCCTGAAAGACGTTATATCTCTACACTTAAATGTTGCAGATTTGCGTTGTTCATCTTTCATGAAAACCGTTATGTTTTGGATATCGGAAGAATTGTCTACATCTATATGGAAACCCGAAAACTTGATATCGTGTTTCATGAGATGTTTTAAGAGGTGTATATATTATGTTGAATACTCAAAGTGTCCACATTATATCATTCCAAAGAATAATTTACTTGAAAATAAGATAAAAGGACAATCACAGCAAATACTTCTAAATAAGTTGCATGCTTTAAATAGTTATGGTCGGCAATGCATCTTATTTTCAGACCAACTTTCGAATTTCGATGCAATAACATATAACATTAGCAAGGAACCACGTTGTTTACACGTCCGCAGTGTTGAAGCATTATTATTGTTTTAAAATATTCATGTTTTAGACAGAATGTCGTACAATAAATTCATTTAAGAAAATGGGATACACAGAGTGTTGTCTATCAACAGTGCAAAAATCAAATCCCTATTCGAGTACTATATTTCAAGATATTGTTACAGAAGTCACCGATTACTACAATCTGATGACAAATTCGATAACAAATATACTTACAAACAATTTAATACCTCTATAAATAAACTGTTGCTGGGTACGCACCATTACGCTGTTTCTAGATGGTTGGTGTTAGCTGCAGTTTTTCTACAGGACAAAAGAATACAAAAAAGCTGTTGATATTCTTTATTATTGTCTTTTAAAATGCACACCGGAAAAAATTTACGAACGCATGAATTTGTCATAAATTCATAAAGAATTGTTTAATTTGCATTTAGTTAGGTAGATGCCTTTAGTTCAGTTGTTGAAGTTTCTTAATTTAGATTCTTTGATATTTTCTTCAAACTCTGTTTTAGTACCAGATGAAATACGAATTGAACGAGAAGACAATGAACGCTTTATTTCACCAGTAGTTTGTGCCAATTTCCTACGTTTTCTATGCCATTATCATCTTACAATACCAGACAATGTCGGGATTCTCTCCAAGATCTCCAATTGACCTTAGAGGAAAACTATTTAATACCAAATCCCTTACTAAAAGCTATATCTTACAATTTACTTGGCAAAACTTTTCAGTTAATAGGAGACATAGAATCAGCGAGACGGGTATTTATGCAATCTATTAAACTAGATATTAGAAGATGTGTTATGAGTGCCAATGAGACAACTCTCCATCCAAGTCAACATTTAAAAAAGTAAACCATTATAGGTAAAAGTACGGTCTTCAACACGGAGCCTTGGCTCAAACCGAACAGTAAACTATAAAGGGCCCCCAAAATTACTTGTGTAAAACCATTCAAACGGGAAAACCAACGGTCTAATCTATATTAAAAACGAGAAACGAGAAACACTTATGAACCACATCAACAAACGACAACTACTGAACATCAGATTCCTGACTTAGGACAGGTGCAAACAAATGCAGCTGGTTTAAACGTTTTAGTGGTACCAAACCTTTACCCTTTTTTTGAAACAATAGTGTAACATCACAACTTAGAAAGACACACTATAAAATATCAACTGAAATAGCTTAACTCAATCAAAGGACATATTAAAACCAATGAACATACAATGAACAAATAAATTTGACCTATGATACAATGCAAATACAAAATAAATTAACTAAGGGAAGAACAATAAAAGTAACATATTATATCGGTATGAAATATTATGCAAATGATGCGTCCAGGAGATTATAATTGATTATTTTTACGTTATTATGATAATGTGAAATAAGTTTTATTTCATTATCATTAGTGTTTGTACGATTTTACCACATATCATGTTTGATTTGTTTAATCTCTGTTAATTGCATTATTAACACTGTTGTTTTGTTGGTTTTTTTTTTTTTTTGTCTCTTACACACTCAAAATAAAGGAAAGAAATAAAAGTAAGTTGAGTTAAAATTGACTACATGATACGTCAGTGGATACAAAACCTATCCCAAGTTATTTCAGGTGGATGTACATAACAATTTGTAAGTCTAATAAGTACACACAACCACATGAGTAAATGCATACCCTTGTGTTAGAAACTCATTGCA